AATCTAGGAACCACAAATAGAGGAAATGTGATATTCATCTTTCTGAGACTGACTTAATTTACTTACTATGATTACTACAGTTGTATCTATTTTCTTGTAAATAACATAACCTCATTCCTCTTTATGGATGTAAATAATTTCATATATATATATATATATATATGAACATATCATATATATCATAGTAATATATAAATTACTTGAAAAAGAGCTAGAATGCCATGTAGTAGAGGAAATGCAGGGAAAGAGGTACAGTGTAATTTTCATTCCTGGGTATTTGTGCTTGTGTGTGTGTGTGTGTGTGTGTGTGTATATTATGGGATGTTGGGGGTTGATTCCAGGGCCCCGTGCATGCCAGAAAACATACTACCACTGAGCTATAACCTTAACCCTTTCTTAATTTTTATGAAATATTTATGTCAAGTCACTAAGAAAATATTTCAGCAGAATATTTTGTTTTCAGAAGAGTTCTTGTCACAAATAAGAAGAGACCTAAGCAGTAGGAATACAGATTTCTGTAAGATTATGTCTCTACATACAAATTTCAATTTGCTTTGTTTTTTGTTTTATTTTTTTGGTGCCCGAGTAGGACATGAACCTGGACCCCCAGATGCTTTGTTCTTAGATTTAAAAATAGAATAAAGCTGCTGGAAACTAGAGAGGCCCACAGGAAAAGGCAGTGATGCTTACAGATGTTCTCAGGCACACAATTACAAACCACAGTTGGAAGTGTTACCAAAGGGGTCAATTAGAAGACCTCTTCCATCCAGGACTTGGCAGGCTGAGGCAGAAAAATCACAAGTTTAAGGGCAGCAGGGACCACTAAATGAGTATGTTTAAGAGCAGTAGAGATAGACCTCTGCAGACTGCCTGAGAGTACCTAAATCAGGCCTCCCCTTCTCGAGCTTCCCAAATTGTGCTCTGACTGCTCCTTAGTAGGGACCCAGACCTTAGGAGAAAGTCTGAGAGTACCTGACTGGCACCTGACTTGGGCTTCTCTGGGAGCTCCTGAGCAGCTGGACTGAAGTCATCTGGACCCTCCAATATAAAATCAAGAGAGAGCCTGAAGCCTAGACCAGCCAGCTTTACATACTCAATAAGAAGACAAGCAAGGCACACCAATATACAAACAGAAGCAGACTTCAACTCAACAAAGGAATGCTTGAGTTTCATACCTGAATCATAAACAACAAAAGAAATACACATGCCAAAATCACAATGGAAAAATAATAATATGGAAAAACAAAATAATATGTTCCCACCAAACACCACCAGTCCTATAGAAGAGTTCTACAAGGAGAACCCCCTAGAGATAACCCAGGACACAGAATTTAAAAGAATAATCATAAACATGATCAAAGAATTAGGCAAATTTAAAGAACACACACACAAACAAACAAATCAAAGAACTAAAAGAAGATAGGAATAAACTTCTGACTGAATTCTCAAAAGAGATACAAATATTGAAGAAAACTCAGGCTGAAATGAAGAAGGAAGTGAAAAACTCAACAAGCCAATTTGAAACAACAGGAGAATGAGTGAAACAGAAAACAGACTATTAAGACTTGATGATAAAGTTGAAGAATTGGACTGCTCAAGCAAAGATTACTTATTTATTTATTTATTTATTTATTTATTTTTGGTCTTTTTGAGACAAGGTCTCCCAGTAGCCCCAGCTGGCCTGGAACTCACTATGTAGACCAGCCTGGCCTTGAACTCACAGAGCTCTGTCTGCATCTGCCTCCTGAGTGCTGAGATTAAAGGTGTGTGCCACCAGGCCTCGCTTCAAGCAAAGATTGTAAAAAGTTTTTAAAAACACAGAAATGGAATATGCAAGAAATGTGAGACACCATGAAAGATCAAAGTATCTTAGGTATAGAGGAAAGAGAAGAATCTCAGGATGATAGTACTGAACAGATCTTAAACAGGATTGTAGAAGAAAATTTCCCCAAATTGAGGAAAGGCATGCCCATACAAACACAAGAAGCACACAGAGCACCAACAGACAGAACCAGAAAAGAAACTTCCTACAGCGTAACATAGTAAAAACACTAAACTTGCAGAACAAAGACAGAATACTAAAAGTTGCAAAAGAAAAACAGAAAGTCATGTATAAAAGAAAACCCATCCCAATTACATGCAAACTATGAAAGCCAGAAGAGCCTGAACCAAAGTAGTCCCAGTTCTAAATATCCATAGACATCACCCAGCAAAACTGTTTATTATAGTTGAAAGGGAAAGAAAAATCTTCCATGATATGAATAGGTGGAAAAAATACATGTTCACAAAACCAGCTTTTCAGAGAATACTTGAAGCAATACAAAGAATGAAAAAAAGGAACAACTATATCCAAGGGGCAACAGAAACTAAATGAAGGTATAATTGTGGAAACAAAAAATTAGATCAAGAATGCAAACAGAAATTAAAATGATGGGACCCAATACATATCTTTCATGAGTAACTTTAAATATCAATGGACTGGACTCCCCGGTCAAAAGACACAGGATAGTTGAATGGAATAAGAAACAAAATCCATCCTTTGTTGTCTGAAAGAAACCCATCTCACCTTCAAGGACAGGCACTACCTTAAGGTGAAAGAATGGAAAAGAATATTCCAAGCAAATGGTACTCAGAAACAAGCAGGAGTTACAATTCTAATATTTGACAAAATAGACTTCAAGCTAAAACTAATCAGAAGAGACAAAGAGAAGAGAGAGTTGTTTCATTCTGATCAAAGGAACAATTGATCAAGAAAATATTACAATCAAGAACATATATGCACCAAACTCTGGTGAACCCAATTTCATACAAACAGTACTACAGGCCTTTAAGACACTGATTAATCCTAACTCAGTAATAGTAGGAGACTTCAATACCTCACTGTCTCCACTAGACAGGTCAACCAGAAAAAGAATAAACAGAGAGACATCTGAATTAAATGATAGCATACAGCAAATGGACCTAACAGACATCTACTGAATATTCCACTGGAGCACCAAAGAATACATTTACTATTCAGCACCCCATGGAACTTTCTCTAAAATTGACCACATACTGGAGCACAAAACAAATCTCACCAAATGCAAAAAGAAATAATTCCATGCATTTTATCAGACCACAACATAATAAAGCTTAAAATCAACACTGGAAGAATCCTTAGTAACTACATGAACTCATGGAGATTAAACAACACACTCCTGAATGATGAGTGGGTCAAAGGAGAAATTAAGAAAGAAATTAAAGTATTCCTAGAATTAAATGAAAAGGACAATACAACACAACAAAACCTCTGGGACACTTTAAAAACAATCCTGAGAGGGAAATTTATAGCTCTAAGTGCCTGCATTAAAAAATCATAAAGGGCACAAATAAATGACTTAATATCACAACTCCAGACTCTGGAAAAGCAAGACCAAACATAACCCAAACCCAGGAGATGAGACGAAATAACAAAAATCAGAGAAGAAATTAATGAAATAAAAACAAAGAAAACAATACAAAGAATCAATGAATCTAAGAGCTGGTTCTTTGAAAAGCTAAACAAGATAGACAGACTCTTAGCCCAGTTAATCAAAAGAAAGAAAGAAAGAGCAAATTCAAATAAACAAAATCAGAGATGAAAGGGGAAACATCACAACAGACATCCAAAAGATCCAGACTATTAAAAACCAATACTCTATTAAATTTGAAAACATAAATGGATGAATATCTAAAATCATAGTCACCACCAAAGCTAAACCAAGAAGAGACCAACAGCCTAAACAGACCTATAACATATAAGGCAATCGAAACAGTAACACAAAACCTCCCAACTAAAAAAAGCCCAAGCCCAGACAGATTTACAGCAGAATTCTACCACGCATTTAAAGAAGATCTGCAACCAATACTACTTAAATTATTCAAAAAGATAGAAGCAGACGGAGAACTTCCAAATTCCTTCTATGAAGCCAACATCACTCTAATACAAAACCTGGTAAAGACACAACCAAACAAGAAAACTATAGACCCATATCCTTAATGAACATAGATGCAAAAATTCTCAACAAAATACTTGCAAACCACATACAGGCACACATAAAAAAGATCATCCACCATGATTAAGTAGGCTTTATCCCAGAATAGCAGCAATGGTTCAATGTATGCAAGTCAGTAAATGCGATAAATCATATAAATGGACTCAAAGGCAAAAATCACATGGTCATCTCAATAGATGCAGGGAAGGCCTTTGACAAAATTCAGCATGCATTCATGATAAAATCTGTAAAAGGAATTGGACAGGAGGGAGAACACTTCAACATAATAAAGCTATATACAACAAATCCACAGCCAATACCATTCTAAATGGAAAAAAACCTTGGAAGCATTTCCATTAAAATCAGGAACCAGACAAGGCTGTCCAGTATTCCACTTTTAAAAATATAGTGCTTGAAACTCTTGCTAGAGCAATAAGGCAAGAGCAGGAAATTAAAGTAGTGCTAATTGAAAAAGAAGAGATCATATTATCCCTTTTTGAAGATGATATGATAGTCTACCTAAAAGATCACAAAAATTTCACCAGAAAACTCCTAGAACTGATTAATACTTGCAGCAAAGTGGCAGGTTACAAAATTAATCTACAAAAATCAGTAGGCTTTCTATATAGCACAATAACAAGCAATTGAAGAAAGAGTATATGGAAATACTTAAGTTTA